CTCTGTCTTCAGATTATTTCTCTGGAAATTGCGCACTTTATCCAAGCTCCCATTCTGGTGCTAGATCATACTCAGCAGTGTGATATATAGGAGGTCAACAAAAACATCACCTCATCCCTTCTGACTGCCAACTCTGTGAACTTTTGAACAGTCCTTATCCAGCAACCAAAATAGGCAGTGTTATCTGCAGAGAGAAACCCCAGTACACTGCGTGGACTGACTTGTAGTGCTGACTTCAAGTTGATGGATCCCGTGTGTAACTGGTATTCAGAAATCTCATTCTGAGAGTGGGAATAGGGAATTCAATTTGATGAGCAGAGAAAGACAACGTGCTTGCCCTCTACCACCTCACTAGCTTGAATCGTATGACGGATCTTACAGTACAGTCTCTGAATGGTTTGTAGCCGTGTTGCAAACAAAATCAGTCAGACACCTTTGATTGGCAGGTCTACACAACCAGTGTATCTATGTTATGAAGTGTAAATAGTTACAACAGGTGTAAAAAGGAAATTAAATTGATTTAATTCTACATAAACTAATGTTTATTCATGACTGAGGCTCTCTAGGTACCATTAATATAATCTGGAGACTGCATATGCATTATTAAAGATTCCTTGTAGATAAGAATTTGAAATAAAGCCATGTAAGTAGAGCAAAAGTACAATACATATGAATTCCAGTTATTCCTTTAAAGAAACTGAAAACATAAGTAAGATGCACTCTGAATCTCAGCTCCCTTCAGAGTCTGTTCAGAAAGGTACAGATTTGCAAACCCAGGATTTTTATTGGTGTTTAAATTGCCTCCCTGGCTTAAACCAAATATCTGGTGCTATCAGAAGATCAGGAAATAGAAACAAACAATAAGGGGACAAATCATATATTGCTTAATGTGTTTTCCTCTAATTTCTTTTATCCCCTTTAAGTTAGCTCATTGCACTTATTCCTGGTGTCTGAAATTTGCATCAACATCTAATTTAAATTAACACTGTTTTATACTAATCAGACTGGTTTTCTTATTTTCATTCGTGTCAATGTCTCCAAAGAGGGCTGGTTGGTATTGCACATTGATCTTGCCTTTTTATATAAACAGAGTATTAACTTTTCATGATCTAAGGAGAAACCAACTTAGCAGAAGTGTTTGTGAGATGAGGAGCATTGTCTTCTTATGCAGAATGATAATTTTTCTTATAACATTAGGCTGTACACAATATGTTAGGGCATGGGACGTGTGTATGTGTGTGTTTGTATTTGCTTTGTGATACAGTGAACTATTGTCTCTATCTGGTGCAGAAAAATACCACTCAACTATATTCTACAGATTGAGCAATTCTTCAGCGCAAATATCACCTATACGCCTAGGATTCTTGTAGAGTTATTAATTTTATTGATTGACAACATCTTCAAAACACAGGCATAAACCAAAGTTGCTTTCATGGAGTGCACAGCAATCAAGTTGTCTTGAAATACATAATTACCTTTATGATGGGTACTCCCACATCCCAGAGTGTTTCACTATTAATTCCGTGTTCTTTGCTGCTGACTCTGTGCACATTGGGACTATCGGGTCAAGCAGCACTTTCCGGATGTGCGCGCTCCAGGGTAAGGGAAGTCAATTTTACAACACTGCAAAATAAAGCTGCTCTGCAGAATATTAGTTTCGTAGCCACAAGCTAGAGCATCATTATAGTACTTTTCCATCTTGCATTAGGATAAGTTCCCCTGAAGGAGTGTTTGTGAGTCTCTTTTCTTCCTGACCTTTAGTTTAGAGGAAAGCAACATCTGCCTTTGGGTCTAGTGCAGATAGAGCTCCTGCTGAACTTCCATATTCATTCATGAGCACCACCTTCTGAATTGTGGCAGATCCTGCAAAAACACAAATTCTGGGAATTTTTCTTAAATATCACAGGGTTTGCTCTAAAGCCCATTTATCTAAATTTTACTGCCCACCACACTGACAACTGCTGGTAAAATTGCCTGGCAAATGCTACTAATTCTGAATATGAGTATGTGCAGACTGAACACCTACTCTATTGTTTGGGCAGTATTTCTTTAAGCCCTCTAAATTGCTAGGCATTGTAGATTGCCTGAGAATGAAACCACAAAGCACTTGCTGTTTCTATGGGAATACTGTCTTCAGATTTCAGTTCATCTTCTACAAATCTACAAAAAATAAATAACCTGGGAAGGAAAATGGAAATATGAAAGTAAAAAAAAGAAAGAAGTATTTTTGAGAGGAAGTATTTGAAAGTATTCAATCCAGGATTGCACTTGATATTGACTATCCAACATAGATTGAGTTTTGTTCACTGCATTTACTCAACTGGAAGATGGAATGGTGCAGACGAGTCCTGTTCTTGCAGTCTCGGGTAAGTTTAGACATGAATCTAGTTCCAAAGGTCTGCAGAACGGACAGCCCTATGTCTGCTCTCAGATGTGGATGTGTGTCATCAGCCTATAAAGAGTTACAGGTCTTTGATACAAAAGACTATGCCACATATGGACAAAGCCTTGGGTGAGATGGTATAGTGTGAGGTGTCCCTGTCCATGGCAGGGGGGTTGGAACTGGATGATCTTAAGGTCCTTTCCAACCCTAACTATTCTATGATTCTATGATATAGTCTTTTGATACATAAGACTTTTTTATAGTCTTTTGATACAAAAGACCATGCCACAGTTCCAGTGCAACTGGAAGAGCACAAGAGAGGCGAGTGTTGTATTTTGTCATATTCCAGTGGCTATTCTAGGGAATGTGACAGGCACAAGAGCATGTCTACATTGGAAAGAAGCAGCAATGTTTACTTGGTTTTTTTGTGTGTCTGTCTACATTGAGTACTGAGAGTTGGAGAGGATGCTTGAAAAAGGGGAGAGTGTATTCCAATTTTATGAGACGTTGTCAGGACCATAGATGTATTTTCATCACTGTGGCTATAGCCTGGTGCTCTGACTATACGGCTCACAACCTGTTTCTGTGTCAGGCATGTTACCCTTAGGAAAAGAAATTTATTTCAGAAATACAATGATGCAGAAATGTCAGAAGAAATTATTTCTTATCTGATAGGTAGTCTTAAAGCAAGTTCATATGACATATGAGTTTATACAATACATAAGAAGGTAAGACAGTCTGCAAGAAACTTTTCTTTATTCAGGATTGTTTATTATATATTAAAGTTTGCCTCCCACTGTCTTCTGACAAGTACAGAATCAGCAGTTGAAAAAGCATGTAGAAAATAATGTAGTTTGGATAGTGGCTTGATGATAAACCAGCATTCTGTCTTGCTCTGCTTGTCTAAAGAAGTGATTTATCTGTGTGTTTGAAACCAAATTTTCAGTAATTGCATTCAAACAGTTATTCACTATAATCTTATGAAACTACTCCATTGTACTGTCAGCTAAAATTGACCATCCCGTAGATTCATCAGCAGAACACAAAGCAATGACTTTATCCCACCTAGCATTTGGGAACATGAAGAGGAGGGCATTTGAAAAGCCCTGGCAAGAGATTAGGATAGAAGATGCATGCCTAACTATTCTGTGGTTCTATGAGATAGTGATTTTATGATTAAATTCACTGGACGCACAATCAGAACAGGCATATGTATTATAAATGTGACCCGTTAGTTCTTATGGAGGCACTTGTATATCACAAAGATAAAAAATATAAAGGCAGCCAGGGAAAGAATTTCAAATGCTTGGATAAATATTTATAATTTCACTATCTGTGCTTTATGTGCTCATGTTCTATTTTGATCTCTGAAGTCAGGAGCAAAGTTGAGTATGACATTTGTGGAGAAAATAGAAAACGTATTTCACAGAGCTACCTGTTCAAGTGCAACGCTACTTTTCCTGCAGTAAAAAAGAGAGAAATGTTCAAAAGCTTTTGTAAAAAACATTTAGAACGTGTATTAAACATATAAATCCATCTGGTATTCCTCTGGGAGGTGAAAAGTAACAAGATGAAAAAACGTTCATTACAGAAACTTAGTGCCCGAGCTCTATCACCACTGCCAGTTTTGTATTTCTATAGAACAAGGTTAATGGAACCTAAGTTTCTCGTTTAAATGTAATTCCATTGCAGTAAAATCTGACTGAATCCTTTTCTGCTTTGAACTGTGACTGTTTAGAGTAAGTCTAAAATCGGGAAAGATGTACTGAAAGTTAAGCATGAAAGAGCTCTTGCGATTCCAGTTTTAAAAATTGCCTAAATGTTTAATTTCATGTGCAAATAAATTCTTTCCACAGGCAATGTCTGCCCCAGAGGAAAAAGCTAAATTGCTAATGGAAAGAAAAATCTAAATTGCTATTGGATAGATGAATGTCTAGAGGTACCACAGTATTTGCAGACTGGTCAGATTATGTGAAAGCTGAGTATCTAAGAGAAGAAAGTTGATTTGCTTTTCAGTTTTCGCTTGCCTGATTGCTTGCATTGCTACGTAGATAACACTATTACTATGGAGAACAGACATACGTCATGAATCTTGGGGCAGAATACTTTTTCCCATTCATCCCCCTAAGAATTGTGATTATGTAAAGTTTGTAAGATCATTGTTGCTTTATGAAAAAAGACAAAGCAAGAAAACTCTCTACCTAGGCAATTTGCTACATCCTTTTAAAATATTGAGTTATAACAGCATCACTTATATGGTTGCATAGGAATCACCATTTGAACTGTGAAACCCCCTCAATTATTTGCAGATCGTAGAATCCCAGACTGGTGTTGGAAGGGAGCTTAAAGCTCATCCAGCTCCAAACCCCTGCCATGGGTAGGGACACCTTCCCATAGTCGAGGTTGCTCAAAGCCCCATCCAGCCTGGCCTTGGACACATCTAGGGATGGGCAGATGGGTCATCTCAACGTAACTTAGCTCCTAGTAGCACCCTAGAAAGTCCAAGGCTTCTGTCCAGGAGAAGGATCCTGCTGTCAGTTCTTAAAGGATCGGAAGGGACAGTATTGTTACAATGATAGTGACAGAATTACTGTAATTCTGTGTTTTTCTTTATCAGTTGCGTTTTCAGGCCTTGGCTTTACCACCTTCTACTTAGCTGGAAAGTTACATTGCTTCACGGAAAATGGCCGGGGGAAGAGCTGGCGGCTTTGTGCAGCGATCCTCCCACTCTACTGTGCCATGATGATTGCCCTGTCACGTATGTGTGATTACAAGCATCACTGGCAAGGTGAGACATGAAAACACCTTTTTTGTGCTATCTTTTATTAGCCTTATATTTCTTTAATTATTTTAAGTAAATCACATGAGTTAAAACTCATCGTAGTATGCTATAGGTTTTCCTTGCTCCTGGATTGATGCTAGGGTTTCAGTGTCTGAAATTTTACTGCAGGGGTTCTTTACTATTCTGTATCTTTACATACACAGTGTACATCATCGTAGTTACATACAGATCTAGATCAGTGTTTTTTTATATCATCCTTTTTATAAGTGTACACATGTGCCACAGCTCTCCTGGATGGATCCAGCTGTAGGCTGCATCTGGCCCATTAGAAGCTCTGCCTAGTCCATGCCTACTGCTTCTCCATGTATCTGCAAGGTGCCTGTTGGGTATGTGAGGGACTGCTAATATATTGACACATATGCATTAGACTAGACTGATGCATCTGTGTGTAACCAGTCATTGCAAAGATGCATTCAGTCATTTGTATTCTGGTTATTGGGTGCACCTGATGTAATACACTGCTTTTCATTCATATCAAAGTATATTTGGCATGAGGTGGGTTCATGTTCCCTCCATGAGAAATATAGAAACATTGCAAACCGAGCTCTATAGCATAGATTGAAACAGATTCTGCCCACACTGAAAAACTTGCTGCAAAGTTTGATGCTTTCTGTTCTCTTAACTTTTTTGGCCAAGGTTCTAATTGTTCCCAAGGTGTCACTTTTACACTTTCCAAAGTCAGGTCCTACTTAAGGAAGCGAAATATTTTATTTTCTTATATCTTGTTAAAAATGATTTTCCATAGCTTTGCGCTGTGTCTATTTTTATGTCGATACTTTCTTATATTGACTATTTGTTAGCATTGGATTCAGCGTGGTACCAAGCACATGGTACCAGTGAATATTCAACAGACTGTAACTGCAAATAAATGTTGAATGTATTGAGTATGGATGAGGAGGTTATTGAAGCAGCATGCAGTGTCTTTCATGATCATAAAGTATATTCACAAAGCTAAAGAAACATGCCACACAGTGTTAAAGCTTACCTTTGTGAAGGAGTGACAGTTATTGACTGAATGGAAGATGGCTCTTAAGTCTTCAACAGCAGCATCTGATATACGAGTGAATTGCATAAAAGGTCTGCTTGTAGATGAACCTGCATCCTTAAAAGTCTACCTATAATCAACCACAAGGGATATGCTTAAGTGAAGCATCAGGAGTCTGAAGGATGCTTAATCCTAAGCTTTTATATAGGCAGATAATACCGTGTTTGGTACATCTTATTAAAATAAAAGATTGTGTCAAGCTGTATTCTAGCCAGTACCTTTTACCTCACTTCTATTATTGTTTGTGTTCAAATCTGAGGATTTCAAAGTCAGTGTGTATTTTCAGTGATATTTTGCTCTGGTTGCTTGAAAATGAAGCATAAGATCTGGGAAGTAAATTAGTAAGACAGCGGGGGAATCTGACAACTGAACAAATCCTCTTACATTTCCAGTGCTGTGTGGTTCTGATGGAAAACTTGTAATTGCCCATGTGAGAAGGCTGCAAATATGTCACACACTGGCCTTATTTTATCCTATTTTATTTTTTGGTAGGAGTATGGGATAGCAAAGAGCATCAAAAAAATTCAAAAGGTGTCAAATCAGTTATCAGGCATGCTTAGTCTTTGACCTCTCAGGTTCTTTTAGGAAGAATTCACCCAGCTTGAAATGGTCCTTGACAGCTGTTTTTCTCAGGAGTTACAAGTGAAATTAATTGTTCTAGCTAGAGTGGCCCACTTCTGAAGGAAGATAATTTTCCATCTTACATTCTACTTGCTCCTTGTCTGTATTGGAGAATGCCTTCTGGAATACAAAACAAGAGTAGATCTCTTGTAGCTGTCATTCTGGGGGGTACTTGGACAGAGACAAGGAGCAGACTGCACACAGTGCAATAGTTTGTGGTATAACTCAGTGGGAGAGTATGCTGTAAACACCATAGCTCTGCTGTATTGTTCATAAATAGAAAACCTGCTGGTGGTCATTGTAAATCATGGCATACTAGAAGAGGATACATGGGTTGCTTATTCACAAGTGTTGGTCAGAGGAGATCTGCAACATCATGGAGGCCCCATGGAGGCTGCTATTCCCCTTGTTCATCTCCAGAAACACAGCCAATTGTCTAGATTTTGGATATTCAAGCTCTTGGAGATGTCCCCAGCAAAATACTGATTTTGTGTCCTATGGGATTGTGATATTGGGCTCCAAATTCTTTATGAAAATTTAAAGTTCACAGTTTCTGGGTTAAACACTTCCAGGTCAACCAAATGTCTTTTATTTACAGTTGTTACCGCTGCCTGACCTTTCCATAGTAACATGCTTCTGGTTTTGTTGCTTTTCTTCTCTAGATGCTTTTGTTGGAGGGATCATTGGCCTCATTTTTGCTTATATTTGCTACAGACAACACTACCCTCCTTTGGGTAATACAGCGTGTCATAAATCTTATGTCAGCCTGCTAGATCAGAACTCTGTGAAGAAAGAAGAGAGACCTACAGCAGATAGTGCTACTGGCCTGCCTCTAGAGGGAATAACTGAAGGTCCTGTATGACTTTAAGAAATGTGCAGAACGAACTTTTAGCCTTCTCACATTTCCTCCAAACTGGTCTCTTAACACAGTGTCTCTTACTGTACGTTGTTTTTCTTTTGTTTCTTTCCTTTTTATAAAGAGAAAATAAATATTTTGGTTTTAATGGCATAATAGCATCATACTTCTACAGTTAAATTTTCAGTTCATATTGACTTGCTGAATTATCTGTTTTCAGTCTCCTGCGAACAGATAAGCCACTTGAGGGAAGGGGAAAGAACAGGAATAAAAACAATCTTATGTGGAGGAATGGCTAAGAAAGTAATTTTAAGATGTGTTTGAAGACAGGGTAGATCTGGAAACAGATTTTCTAAAGTACTGAGTATCTCTTAGCAAGTTCTGGTCATCTTCAGCACTCATTGATTTTGCTGGGTGATGAATACACAAAGCACTTTTCACCAGATGCTCAGCATCTGTTGTGTCTAGACATTTCTCTATATAACTTAATAAGTTAGGGCATCATCTTTATGTTTAGCTTGTTGCCTTCTAACATTAAAAAAATCTCCACATGCTGGTAGAACTTTGTATTAATTGTCAAGTTTTGACAATTAATTCTAGTTACTACTAGAGCTACTAATGATCAAGCAGCCAAAAGGTGTGAATGGGTAAGTGTTTGTAAGAGCCAAGCTTCATGCATTAGTGGTTCCACAGGATGATTATAACAGTCAGGAAATTCCACACTGTTAAAATTATTATATAGCTTACAGAAACATATGTTCATAGGAAGGATTAGAAACTTGGTGTTTAAATAAAATCTGCAATTTTTTGAGGGCAATCACGGTAATTACTGCCAAAACAAAATGAAATAACACTCATGACATTCAACAAGCTGAAGTCTTTGAAATAAGTTTTCAAAAAGCCTAAAACTGTGAAGATAAATAATCACAATGTTTTCTGTGAATCTCGGTGTGCCACGTTCATTCTTGTGCAGTGACCCACTGCAGCACTGGCTGTCTAAAGAAATGCAAAGATTCTCATTTGTGACTTTGGGCACACAACCACGAATGCTTGTGGTGGTCTCCAGCACTGTAACATATCCATAGGAATGCTTGAGACAGTTTACCACTAGACCCATTCCACATTTTCAGCTCATCATGTTCTTGAGCATGGGTTGGTTGGTACCTGGATTGAAACTCACCAGAATCAGAACGCTGTTGGTATGGAGAAGATTACAAAGTGTATGATTTTAGTTAACTTATTATGGGTAGGTCCCTGTTTTATTATGTCTGCACTGTGCAGTATGCATCCCGTTCCTGTGAAATGATGTACCTTTGGGTGGCAGAATGTCAGATTCCAGATTTTTTTTTTTCCCTTAGGTATCCTGTGAAAATGCAGGCAAATGTTCCAGACCACATCTTGGCAGTTGAACATTTCTTATCTGGAGCTGCTGGTTAAAGCAATCAAGATAGCGCTGATCAACGACCATTATTACGGTGCTTTAGACTGGAGGATACTGCTGCCATAATTATAGTTTCTGTGTTACTGGTGGAATATGTATTATTGGCCTCGTAGGCATTTTGTGATTCAAACGGCTCAATGTCTTCATGTAAAGCTTGTCACTTACTTTTCTCAAAGGTAAGCTTCCTAGATTTTTCTGAGAAGAGCTACTTCCTCATTGGCAACACTTGAACTTTTATAGAAAAGCAAGTAAATTAGAAGCCCTTTAAAATAAATGTAGTAATTGTGTACAAGAGGATGCAACCTTACTATGTATAAACTTACATGATATTTGGAAATAACTATAAATAGGAAATGACATTAAGGCACAGAATGTAAAAGGCATGAACCCAGGAGGGTTCTGCAGAAATTAAGCCTGATTTACTTGTAAAACTGATACCAGTTTGAGCGCATCAGTTAGAGACAGGGTTTTTTTTCTGACAGTTACAGTATTCTGAGCTCTAGAATAGAGACAGTTACCCAAATGTAACTGGGGTTGCTGATGTATATATGCTGGTTCACAAAACTAGCATCAGCAAAGCAAAATTGTTCCAGCATTGCATTTGCACTGGATTTGACAAAGCACTCCTCTAGTGTAATCAAGGTCTTATTCTAGAAATCCACACAATTTAGTGGAGGTTTAATCTTTCTATAAAGTTTTTAAACCATCCTACAGAATTCTGTAACAGGGATATCATTTTGTATCTTTCATAGGGGAGGATTAACGAAAGCCCTACAGTAAGGGTATCATGTCTTTACATTATACAGGGCTTAGCCATTAGCTTTTTCTTTCAGCAGGAACCCTAGTCTTCCAGGTTATATGCAAATGTTAAAAGAAAATAAGACTTAAATGAAAATTAGAAGTTTAATACTGATGCATAGAGCATTTTGCATGTTTTTATATAGATCTGGCTTATTCTTAAAAATGAGTGGGGCCTCCTAAATGTGCTGTACACATTCCTAGTATTTTAATGGCTTTTGATACAAACGAGCTATCTTTGGCATGAGGAAATCTTATACAGCCCTCAAATGAGTAGTGGCTGTTTAAAGATTGGAATATGAAGTGTAATGCAGCGTAAATACTTACATTGCAAGAGTAATTGGTGAACTTTGCCAAGCAGTAAAGAATAACCTATTTTAATGGGAATAATTAAATTGAAAGTCATCAAATAGACAATGTAAAAGCTTTGATTAGAATGTAATTAGAATTACGAAAGACTTAATGAAATGAAATTTGTGGAGGGATCTGTGGGCACTGTAATTACCAGTGCAGAGTCAGCGTATGGAAGGCTTTTTTGTGGATCAGTGTATTTTAATCTCATGCTTTCTCAGTGTGAAGGAAATGTAACGTTGTAACACACCAATAAAACAACACATGAATGTGGGTTTATACATCTGTCTGTTATCATTTTTCTGCGAAGAATAAAAGTTACCAAGTTTCATTAATAAACCACGGGGAGTATTTCAACAAAACAACCCCTAATGTGACGGCAAACAGCAGCAGTTCCAAAAGCCATTACTGACACCCCTAAACTGGAGCAGCCTTCCTCCTGCTATCCAACTTGTATCCAGGAAAATGGACCATGTAAGTCTGTGAGGTTGAAATCATTAAATATTTAACCAGCTAAACTGCAACAGATCCCTTTCATCTGTCAAGTTCCGTATTTCAAATAGCACTAGGAGTGCCATATTTAATAACAAATGTGGTCGGACTGGAAAAGGAGGACAGCATCTAATTGAACACAGCAAAATGTCCTGAATCCAGGAGAGGCATGAGGTTGTGAACCAGTCAGCAAAACGTCCCACAGCCAATGCATGTCTCAGGCAATGTATTAGAATACAACTGGAGCAAATACACCGATTCATTCTCACATTTTCATGTATGCAGTTTAGTATGATTTGTCCCTCTATTCTTTTCCTTATGGATCCATCAAGTTCTTTCTATTTAATATGAACAGAGAACCTCATTTTCATTCTTTCTTTCTGTGGCAAAAAAATCCTGTGCTATGGAATGGGAAAAAAAACTTTTCTGGTACTAAAATTCCATTGACTTTAGTGGAACTGCTCTGGATCACTAAGCACATCCTGAAGATGGTACACTATGTTTCTATTAATTCATGGAAAGAAAACAGGAATTCTGCTCTTCATTACACCACTGTAGCTACTGCTGGATTGTGTGAAGTTACTCCACAATAGTACTCTTACCAAAACAAAACTTGAGATTTTGGTCTTTCATCACTGCAGGCTGGATCTTGCTTCCAGTAAACTCTCAACAACTTAAATGTGAAAAGGAGAGTGTATAGTTCCTTTCCAAACATACAATGTTATATTGCAGGAGTCATCCTGTTGTGGGTGTGCATTAAACAGCAAATAGTTTCAGGACTTGTGTGCCTACACACGTCTTAGGAGGGACGTTCTAGGAATGCACAGCTATCATTTCAACTGGGCAGGAAAACCTTCCATGTCAATCTGTGTAACAGAGAGGTTTAAAGCTGCATGAACATCCATCTAGTGGAGAATTTCTTTCCTGCAAGAGACAAGGCTGAATACTTGTCATTTTTCTCCAGAATTCTCATGATCAAAGAGTTTAAACATCCTCTCAGGGGACTGGAGCACCTCCTGTATGAAGACAGGCTGAGAAAGTTGGGGCTGTTCAGCCTGGAGAAGAGAAGGCTGCATGGAGACCTCATAGCAGCCTTCCAGTATCTGAAGGGGGCCTATAGGGATGCTGGGGAGGGACTCTTCATTAGGGACTGTAGTGATAGGACAAGGGGTAATGGGTTCAAACTTAAACAGGGGAAGTTTAGATTGGATATACGGAAGAAGTTCTGTACCATGAGGGTGGTGAGGCACTGGAATGGGTTGCCCAGGGAGGTTGTGAATGCTCCATCCCTGTCAGTGTTCAAGGCCAGGTTGGATGAAGCCTTGGGTGACATGGTTTAGTGTGAGGTGTGGCTGCCCATACATGGCAGGGGGGTTGGAACTGGATGATCTTAAGGTCCTTTCCAACCCTAACTATTCCACGATTCTCTCCAGATGTTCCAGTGTTTTTCTCAAATTCTTTTCTCTATTCTCTTAGAAAGAAAATCATATAAATAGGCAGCTCTCTTTATTAAGACCACATAAAAAGAAAAATAGGAACAGTATAAATAAAAAAGTAAAACACATAAATCAAAATTAATAAACTGTGCAAAAATCAGTTTTATGCAGAGAAAGCAAAACAACATCTTATTGCTCAAATGGCATTTGTAACTATGCAGTCAATAGGATTGGTAATCTTTAGGTAATGCTATAAATTAGAATTCAAGGCCATGTTAATATGCTTTAAACCCCAAAAGAAAAAAATCTATAAATAAATAACAGTATATCTAGTGGATGAGACACGATGCAAAGATCAGTTAGAAATAGTTCCAAATTATTTCATTTAGTTGACTCTGTTTTAAATACAAAATGAAGGCACCCACTAGGGTTTTAGTCCCACTGCGTAAAGTGTATCTTAAAGTTGCTAAGCAGAACCAAATTGTCAGAGTGAGGATTAACACCCATAGGTATAAAATGTAGGCGTGTTTTCCATATTACCCTCTCGCATCTTTACAAGCAAGCTGAATTTCTACATTGCTCTCCTAAAAGGCTAAAACTGAATTAGAAGTTTCCAGTAGGATGCACCCAGTTTCATACAGTTTATTACCAAGAGAACTCCTGTTCCATTGGAGTACATAGCATTCCTTTCTCAGGCAACACCCCCTGAACAGAGAGAAAACATCATTTTGCCATGAAACCAAAACTTGCTCAACATGAATAAAATTAAAATGGGAGGATATTTTTTGATACTCAGAATTGAACTGGAATTCCTTTTACAGATGCTTGGCACAATACCAGAATGCTACAGGTTTCTTTCTTAAACCTGCAGAGATAGCCAAGAGATCAGCATCCAGACCATCCAGGCCAGATTCTGAACCCAAGTTACTATACTAAAAACATCTGAGATGCAATAGATGCATCCTGAAGCTCCATAGTAAAGACCTGCCCAGTATCATTTTGCTGCCAGCTTCTAAGAAACCTTTCCAAAGGGAAAACCAAGAGGCATTTGGGGCACTCACATTATGTAGCAATGTATAAATGGGGCATGAAATAGAAAATCCTTGCTCAGTGCTTTGACTTGATCAAAACAATACAGCGATGCATTCAACCAGTTCATGGGTATTGCAGAATGTCAAGTGTGAACCACAATTCAACCAGGTCTGTAAACCTGAAACCTCTGGACTGAGTTTCTCTGTTAGTTTACCAAAAAACACTCTTCATTTCACTGGCAGCTTTACAGCTGTCATCTCTTGTTCTGTCTACCTATTACAATTTAGCACTTGGTATGAAGACTCAGTCCACACGGTCTGAAACAAGTTTATTCCCAGGGGTAGATGGGGTTAGACACAAGGATTCTGTTTTTTATTCCAGTGTTTGCTTTTATCTGGCCTCTTGTTCACATGTATAACTGTGCTTTTTAATTCCCCTCCCATGTCCTCTGAGTTCCTTCAACTCCCTTCTTATCATCTCCAGAGCAGCTACTCTACTGATGAAAGCAAGGGGAAGGGAAGTGTTTGCTGACATCTACACATACCTCCTCCTGGATGGTGTCTGTCTCACTCCTCTCCCTTTTCAATCCTCTCTACATGCATTAGAGGATTTTAAAGTGGTCTTCTCTGTTATTTTGCTGTATATTCCCTTGTTCCTATTTGAAGACTGCCTTTTCCTGGTCACAGCTTGATATACACCACAATCACCCCTCCTTTGGGGCACTGATTTAATTCGCAGCCTGGACTGGTTTGACATAGCATTTACAACTATTTCCACGCTCAGGGAAAGCAGCCAGCAGTTACTTTGGGATCAGCTTCTTGGGTTAACTTTCTCTCTTTGATGTAAATAAAATATATAGGCTGCCACTAACAACTCTGCACAAGTAGATTAGATCGACATGAGTGAGGCAGCTCACAGGATTATAAGCACTGCATCTGAAGCCTGCCCTGCACATCCCTGCCCCTTTTGGGTTAAGCAATGCAGTGCCACAGCACTCCAGGCATCAGCATGAAGAATGGAAATATCTGCCCAAGCTGCATGAATGGACAAATCATAGAATCATAAAATGGTTTGTGTTGGAAGGTACCTTAAAGCTCATTCAGTTCCAACCCTGCCATGGGCAAGGGACACCTTCCACTAGAGCAGCTTGCTCCAAGCCCTTGTGTCCAACCTGGCCTTGAACACTGCCAGGGATGGGGCAGCCACACAGTTTCTCCGAGCAACCTGTGCCAGTGCCTCAGCACTCTCACAATAAAGAACTACTTCCTAATATCTAAACAAGGGAATGTTTGATTTACTAGTCTCAACAGCCTTGTCCATTGACTCTAGCTGGACACACACAGTAGGTGATGCTCCTAGAGTCATTGTCAAAAATCTCCTTTAGCTTTGTATTCAATTCTTTGTATCAGGGTCATTAGGAGAAAGGAGTCCACACTTTATTGAGGGTGATGCTTGCAAATCATTTATTGTTACTCAACAGACTGTCAAATAGCTATCATCTCCGTTACCAGACAGACTTAATGTACAATACTAATGTATTAGTCTGTATTCCGTGCACATCACTTCTTATCATCATTACAAAGCATTTGTATACACAAAACTGCATTCCATCTTCATTTCCAGGCCAACAGATTGAAGCCACAATAAGAGATTCAAATGTGAGTTCTTAACTGAAACCAATATAACACTGTAAAAGAGAAAGGAGGAAAGAACATTACAGCAATGTCACAGTGTCACTCTAATCTAGGAAGTGTAAGCTTGTCTATGGAGTGAATGTGCTGGATTTCATATCTGCAGCACTGTCCAACAAAGATAAAGCAACTTAAATCATTCTCTGTATCAGTGAGTGTGAAAAAGACTGGAGCTGGCTTCTTCACACAAATAATTTAATGAAACAAAAGGCTAGAAATCGTGTTTCTGAGGCTTGTTTTGAAAACAGGAATTCCATTTCACAAGCATGTAATTGGTTAGAAAATGGGTTTAATTCCATATGCACATAAACCTCAGAATTTTAGGAATATTTTAATTTAAAAAAAAATCTTAAAATCTCTCCACAGAGCTCATTGAATAAAGCTCATTGAATAAAGCATGTGGAGAGAATGATTTCCACCCATGCTTCTTCAAGGCTTCCAACCCACTCATGTCAAGCAAATGCCCACAATAACAGGGTTATTCTTGAGTGGGTTCCTTTCCTAATTCTACCCCAGGCTGAGAAACCTCTCCCAGACCATCAGTTTGACTCTTCTGTTTCTGTGAATGGTTCTGATGGGAAATTGTTTCATTTTCATTTTTAACCAGTTTAGTTTTAGCATCAGCTGGAG